ACGTGCTTCACCAGCTCCCTCACTTTACCCACATACCGCTCCTCGGTCTCCACCAATTCTGTCAGCTTCATGCGCAGCTCGACCTTTTGATCTTTGAGAAACGACTTGCTTCGATTTAAGGCGGTCGGCTTGGAGGGCGCTCTTCGTAAACGACTTGTCGGCAGGAAGACTGGTTCTCCGAATAGCTTTATCAACGGTGTGTACCCTCCATACTGGCGCAAAGTTGGGTCAAGGATATCGTCTTCGTCGTCGGGCACGTCCTCGAGGTCGGCGGCTTGGAGGGGCACGATAGCGCCTGGTGGAAGAACAAAGTCGAGGTCGACATTGCTGATATGTTGTGTCTGCAGAGCATCTTGTAATGTCTCGATGATGTCGGCTGTGTGGTCGCTCTGGACCATGTCCTTAACAATCTCGGCAGCATGTTGCTCGCTGAACAGAGTAGGCGCACTGCCTGGACGTCGACCTCGCGTGGGGTATAGGTTCTTGAGGTACGTTTTCACGCCATCGGGCAGCTCTGTGAAGTACTTGAAGAGGGCGAAGGCGAGAGCGCGGTAGACCTCATCGCCCTGAAACTCGCGGGGTAGGTGATGGACGACACCATAAAATGGGGAATTGGGCGAGATTGTGATTCGAGGGAAGCTCTGGAAGCCGGCGGGGGTGAAGACGTGGACTTGGACTCGAGAACTGTTGAGGGTGTAGTTTGCGGTAGTCGAGGGCCCATGGAAGAGGAGCAGAGGAAGATGGCCTAGCAACGGATCTGCGGCGTGGTATAGAGTGACATTGTCAGACGACAGCGCCAACTCCTCGGTAACGCGAACCATGGCGCGGTGTCAGGATTAAATCCGTTGGGTCAAGAAGGGACTCGAGGTGTGTTGACGTCGATGTTGGCCTGACTTGACGGGCGGTGGTCTCCAAGTTGGGCCGCAGATGGAGAGCGATTCGACGAGAAGCGATGAACCAATGGCCCAGCCCAAGATAGACTCAAGCCTAACTAAAGTACAGAGAGAGAGACAAGAGAGACGAGAGAGACCTTTTGGATATGAACGAGTCGCCTCCTCCCTCGTCACGGACACAGAGATTCGCGCATGCGGGCAAAGTCGATCTAGATTTCGTGGGGGGGATTCGTTGAGAGAGGGAAAAAAAATTGGCTAGGATTATAAAATGTGACAAGGCAAGACAGCCTAAGCAGAGACAAAGACGAGGGTTTGGTTTTGGAGGTTTGAGCTTTGGCCGTAGTTGGGCGGGAGCTGGGAGTCAACAAAGGCCCAGAATCGGGAGCGGGAACACAAGCGAGCGAGTGGGTCCCATCGGTTTCGAAAGTAAACACACTAAGAAGTTACTAGAGTTAGCACACCAACTGCGCTGGGCCCGAAGAATGGAACCCACTAAATTCTACAGGTCAGGTCCCTACAGCCCAGCACGATACGATACGATCGTGCGTCACACAGATTCACTTTTGATGTAGCATTCAACCAACAGTTGATCAACAACAACAGCAACGCAACACGTGATGGGAACAACAAACATTGCTACTGAATCAAGCTGTACTATTTTTGTTGTGATTCACGGCTGCAGCTAGCACGACACTAATAAGTGCCCAAGCTAGTAGTCTCTTGCTCTTGGTACCTTTCTCTACATGTTGTGTCCCAAATAAACTCGGTGGCCTGGACAACAAAAAACCCAATCTCAACAACAGCGGTCAAACACAAATTCAATGCTGACCATGCCCTGGGCGGGGATCAGCGGGAGCTCCCTTGCTAAATTCCAAGGCATTGACCGCTAAACTTAGACACAGAGAGAGAGAGAGAGCCCCGCTAATATAAAGTCTCCCAAGACCGCGTCTGACGCGTTCAGCTATTTCCGACAACAGATAAGACTATATATGATTGCCAAGGAAACTGAGTTCAATATCCGTATAAATGAACTACAATAGAAGAATATAGAATATCCATATTTGACTCTGCTTTATGAAACAAGAAACAACTAATCAGGCTGGAGGTGGGCTATTCTGTTGATTCTCCCTTAAACGCCCGAATAACCTCTTCGGCTCCCCGTATCCCACTCCTCACCGCACCGTCCATGTACCCCTTCCAGACCAACGAAGTCTCAGTGCCTACAAAATGCACTCTCCCAACCACCTCACGCAATACTTTTCCACTATCACTCGTCAGCGTTCCCGGCATCATCACCGGTGACGGGCAACCCCAGATCCAGGGCTGCTTGATCCACTCCTGCAAGATGATATTGACAGGTTCAGGTGCCTTTACACCGACACCACTGAAGACTCCGTTGAACTGCTCGAGTACGATTCTTCGTTTCTCTGCATATGGCCACTTGGACCAGTCTCTGCCTCTGTCACCCACGACAAAGCAGGTGATGCTGTACTGCCCATCTTCTGGTGAGCATGTATCTCTTGAGAAGTGAATTGGACCTGTCTCGCATTCTATGATGCCGCTGAAACCAGCGTCGCGCCACCATGGCTTGTCAAAGACAAAGATGGCTTTAGACGTACAGCCTAGTGCAGTGCTTTCGCCTAGTGTCTTTTTACTCTCTGGTAGCGGCGGCTCGAAATTGATAGAAGGGTAGAGACACGTGGGAACTGAGACAATGACCCTCTCGGCTCGGAATTTCTGCTTTGGGTTGGCTGTTTCGATCAAGACACCATCAGAGCCTTGTTTGATTATCTTGACGGGGCTGCGAAGTCTCACGGCTGTCTCTGGGAGCTTTGCTGCTAGACGGACCGAAAACGTCTGGTTGCCTGTTTCTTGTCAGCCAAAGGCTCACTTCACGATAGACTTGAGGTACTGGCCTTGTCTGTTGCGCAAATATTGCCCTCCGTCCTTCTTGTCAGAAGCCATGTTGTCCAAGCCCGTACCGCTGCGGATATAGTCGACCATGAACAAGGCGCTGACTTCATCTGGCCCAACACCCAAGAGAGGACTCGTAGCCGAATCAGCAACAGCAGGACCAAGTTCAGGACCCAGAAACTTTACACTGAGCTCATTGAACGTCATAGAGTCCAGCATCTCGGCTTCAGGATGAGCCGAAGGGTTCTCTGGGTCAATCTCGTCAACCCACTTGTTCAGTTTCTCAAGGAGTTTCTGAACAATATCGGCTGCATCTGGAGGTACAGGCATTCCGGTACCATGTTTTATCTTGGTAACATTGCTGGTTGAATCCTGGTGCAGATTGTATCCAGTGGCTCTCTGCTCGATCAGATCAAACCCAAACTCTTGCGCGAGCTTGTAAATCTCGCTTTGGTTCGTATCATTGAGCCAAGCGGCGCCCAGATCGACTTTACCTCCCAAGTGAGAGGCATCGACGCTCAGAGTCTTGCCGCCAACTCTGTCGCCAGCTTCGAGAACGATAACAGAATGGCCAGCTTCATGGACATCGACAGCGGCGCGAAGACCAGAAAGGCCTGCGCCGACGACGACAACGTCGACTTTCTCAGGGTTGTGTGAATTGGTGATGGTCATTTTGAGATGAATAGAAAAGTAAGGGGGAAGCGAGCAAAGCTGCTACTCTTGACATATTTATAGGCTAGACAGCAAGGGTGGCTAAATCCTTCTTGAGGCTATAATCTGACATGACTGAAACAGATTGGTAGTTGTACACATTCCTTCTAAGTTGGGTCTGAGCATCTTACTCATTGTCGTACAGTTTGTGAGAGTGAGATTTGCTCATTGATCGACCCTTGTGAGGGCAAGAAGTCAGCAATAGCAATTTAAGCTTCTTTTGTCTTAGGCTTGAAGCGATGAGCCTGCGCTTTTCTGACATATACTCCGTTTTAGACTTATGATCAATTATACGCTTTAGTTTATAGCAATTGTTTCCAACAGCGCTCAATTGTGTCTTTCATCCGTCATGATAGAGGGGCAGCTCAGATAAGATGCTCTGACAGATTATCCTTCAATATAGTAGATTAGTGGGTAAGCAACGTCTGTACCTGGCAACCTGATTATGTCCTGACTCATAATTCTTCGGAGTCGTCGTAAGATCAATCATGTATCGGTATATCACTCTTGTTGGCAAGGTTGGTCTGCCCATCACTGTAACTCTTTCCTCTCAGCCTCCAAACTCCAACGGGAGATCTTCACGTGGACCCAAATGCCCACTTCGCTTTTAGCGCGTCATGATACATCTCTCTCTCTCTCTCTCTCTCTCTCTCATACACCAACCACTCACCCTTTCAACCTCCACAATCACCAGAAACAAACTGTCATCGCAATGGCAAGCCAGTCAGGCGGTATCACAGTCCAGCACAACCCCTCCCCAACAAGCTATCGCCTCATCGAACTCCCTCCGGACCTGTTATCTCTTCTCGAATCGGACGATGCACCCGTGTAAGTCAACCCCTAATCTCACTCCTCTCACAAGTACTATGCTGATATTAGCCAGATTAACTATGGAGTCCTCTGATTCATCGGCTGTTATCAAAACGCCTACAAAGACATATGCTCTTCGTCAAAAGAACACTTCAAATGCTCTCATGCTCCTCTCACCCACGCCTCTACCTCAATCGTCAGATGGACATGTTGAGCAGGGCATCTCTATCATTTCTACCATCAAGGAGACTGTTGAGCTTGATACTGTTCCTGATGTGTCTGCTGGTACCGCAAAAGGACTTGGTGGCGGTAAAGGGAAGTGGCATGAGCGATTCGGGAGAAACAGGTAGTGCACTGGCTGTAAATGAATATTAGGATACACTTTGATTGCTTGTGGAAAGAAATTAACGCCGTCTAACAACATGACGAAGACCCCAGTCTCGCAGTCCATGAAGTAAATGAGACTATCCCACAAAATACATGCAACGCCCTTCTGGATCCATAACCTTGCTCCCATTCCCCTGGCCTTCACGTTTCTTGCACCGCTTGCCAGAGAGTACGTGGCGGTCACATTCGCTGTGTTGCTCTTCGTCCCCTGCACCGTCAAGTTTCTACACAGTCACCTCTCTATCCTGTCAACGAAACCCTTTCGCTCATTGAGCCCAGTCATCGCTACCCTGGGCCACGCCAGTTACCCATATGGTCAGGTCGGCCCATCATGTACGGATAAAACGGATTAAAATTTACCGCTCCTTGAAGGTTAAACGGTAACCCTGGTATCGCTGGGCCCGGGTCTCCTGGTGCCATTGGGAACGCTCCGATCTGGGGTTGTTGTTGTTGTGCTTGGATCGGCATTCCTGCCATGTGTTGTGCTTGCGGCATCGGCGCCGGTGGTGCTACTCTATTACCAAGGCGATCAAATGCATTCTTAAGGTGATATCGGATTCCTCTATGTGCCTGCCCATGGACTTCGTTCAGCAGATGATTCTCTTGACGAAAGTGGTTTGCGCCGTGTGCCAGTCCCTGCAGTGCCTGTGGCAGCTGCGGCTGCGGAACATCAAGAAATGGCCTTTGCCCTCCAAGTGGCGGATTCGGCGGCACAGGAATGTGATCGGCTCGATCCCTAAATCTGTGTCCGAATCTGCCTTTCCGCCGCATATCGTCGGTCTTAACCTTTTCAGACATGTTGAAGTTCAGGAGTTCGGGCGCTGATGCAAGCTCTGGATTCTCCTCCAAGACCTTCTGTTTAGCTGCCTTTTCAGCTGCATTGACTTCGTTTTCATGACGCTCTTCAGCACTCTCGAATAAGGGGCAGTTGCCTTGCTTACCCCCTCGACTCTCATCGTTGAAATGATTGTAGTCACAAGACTTGGAACAGACATAGCACTGAACGTTACCACAGCCTTTGCGGGTGCAAGTCATCTTGTTGCAGCCTTCTTCCTTGATAAAAGGGGTGCTGCACTTGTTGCATTTGCGGATGAGGGCTCTCGACATAGCCTCTTCTACCTCCCGCCGCAGATCGACACCTCTCTCGATGGCTGCCTCCTGACAGGTTTTCGGTATGTGTGTTTCGTAGTTACAAAGCCGGCAACTCGTGATTTTGCAGTCGTCGTTTCGGCAACGGAACTCCCTGTCGACGTCGACAGGCGGGTACTCCTCTGCATAGCGACAAAAGGGGCAGTTGGCGAGGTCGGGCAGTTTGGCCATGCGCAGATTGGCCTCTTGTTCAATTCGATCGATTGCCGCAGTCAGTTTCTTATTCAGGAACTTCTGACGCTCGCTATGAGAGAACCCAGCCGTACACCCGATCATGGACATGCATTCAAGTTCGTACTTTGAAAGGCCAATTTGTGTCTCTGCGTGTCGGCGAGCGCAGTTGATACAGAAAGGGTGAGGATCCTTGGCTTGACAATAGACGAGTCTGTTCCATGCAGTATCGGCAAAGCAACACCCGCACTCAGTTACTTCTCCTCTTGCATCTGCCGACTCGAGGTTCATCCTTTCGGCCTCCTCGGCCAATGCTTCTGCTCGACGCTTTTCAGCTACGTCAAACTGCAGTAATCGAGCAGCCTCGAGTTCCTTCATCAATTCTTTTTCCCAGTCGTGAGAGCAGGTTTGTATGGACGCGTCGATCCTCTCTTTTCTGTATCGCTGTACCGGCACTGAGGGCGTCTTCTTCAATTTCCAAGGCAACGGGTGATGATCGCTTGCCTGATTTATGGCAGTATTAATGGCATTAAATGTTGGGAAAAGACGATTTCCGTTTTTAGAGAGGGTTTGTTGAATGGCCTTGACTGGCACCAGTGGGAAATCCCCTGCGATCATTTGCTTCCTGTGTAAAGGTTAACTGGACAGCTCTCAGCCCCAATCTCGCTCATACTGGCAGGAAGCTCTAACACCAAAAGCCACACACCAGATGACGGAATATGTGCGGTCGAAAGGGGAGATAAACTTACATAGTGGCCATTTGGGTACTCTTGGGGCCAATGGCTTGTCCTTCGAGGTTACTGTACTTGCGCTTTGCTTCGGAGAGCCTGTTCTGTAGTTTCTCGACTTCGTCTTCACCTTCGTCTTCATCTTGTCCCTCAGCCGTGCGCTTCCTCTTGCCAATGGCCTGTTTTGGTCGCCTTGCTTTTTGATATACCTGCCCCGACTCTTGGAGATCGAGGAGGTGATTGATCACATCATGGGGGACGAATGATAGAGGACCAGCAATCTTCTTGACATACTCAAGGCAGATGTCGGGAAATAGATCAGTTACTTCTTGTATGCAAGTGTCTTGTAGAGGCGGAGATGATTCTTCTGTCTCGCTTTCGGGATCCTCCATCCTCGTGATGGTCAAGTTCTTTGGCTCTTTGTTTACGATCAAGAGCTGAGGCCTAGATTTGATGATAACGGTTAGAATGAGATGAAGAGAATGAATTCACAGTATCGAAGAGGCCTGCTTTTTGTTGATGATCTGGGGGTGGATCGATCTGTATCACTTCCATTCCGAGACTTGTGGATGCTGATGATGATGCCGCCAGCTGACACTGCTCGAGAAGATGCCCTTCACACAAATAAATGATCCGAAATTCAAAGGGATATGCAATGAATGGAAGATGCGGTGGCAGTGGGGACCAGAAGGAGTTAATTGCGACAGTGATTCAGCACTTGCAACGACTGTCACATAAGTATGGATAGCAAGTAACCAAGATGTTGGCGTCGCTCTTTCACACTAACTTTTGACTTTCACTCTCACTCCGAGACGATGACCTCTTCCACTCTTCACGGCTCACCCGAAACAATTTCGCGCGCAAAGACAAATGAGTATCAAGGTTCGCCGTGTCTTCAGAGGCCACTCACTGAGAGACAAGGGCGGCGTCTGTGGTGATAATGACGCCACGGCTCAACACGAAAGCTTATGTCCATGATTGCAAGTGGCACTCTTCCCTGGCACAAGGATTCGAAGAATGGGTTGCGAGAAGCCAGCCCGCGACTTTGCGGCGTGAAGAAAGTTTTGGCTTGTTGTTTGTTTGCTCGTTTGCTCCAGAACATGGATGGGATAGAAGAACCTCGATATTCTTACCTGCGACAAAGATGCTGATTCTGTAGGTATTTCGGTGAATACTCAACACAGTTGAAGCTTTGTGTAAACTAATCGCTTGTACTTCGTTTCGCTCTAGGTGAATGATCGAGGCCGTATGGTGATGTTGAGATTGATTAATTCGACGTCGGTTGAAGATGGGTGAATTTGGAGAATAGATAGATAGATACCTAGATAGAAGAGGAGACGAGGCAGAATCGAAGAGAAGAGAAGGTTAAAGGCGTCTAGGTTTTGTCGCTCATAATAGACGGGAAGAGAGAGAGAATGAATGACCAGCTCCTTCTATCCCTTCTTTGTGCTTTATTCAAGACTCCATCGGCAAATGGAAAATGGATAAACAGCGACTGATCGATTGTTCAGTGATCGCACTATCGCAGTTCGAAGCTGCCTCGTTTCAAACCCCCGCTCGCTTCAATAGAGTAGAGGTTTGCAAACAATGAAATGGAAGTTGACAATACGAAATGAGGAACTATGTAAGTGGAGAGAATAAGTTGAACAATAGAGGGATAGAGGGAGGCGCAATATGCCAGAGGATGTGGTAGTTATGTTTCGAGAATTAATTCATCAACCATGAGGTCCAAAGTTCATAATGTTGGTATAACTTCATGGGAAAGTAAGGTAGACGCTCACGAGATGCGGAGTAAAAGAGTCAGACGAGGTGGGAGCTGAGTGAATGAGTGAGTGAGTGAGTGAATGAGCAAGTGACGACAAAAGCCAATATATAGAATAGAGGCTACAACACTCTTTGATTGGAGTAGTTTATTACGAATTTGACAGAGATATGCAGGAGAAGAGTCAGTCTTGGTGATGGACAAAGAAGCCCAAGTTCAGGAAAAGATGACGGAAGAAACCTTGGGTCTCGTGATGGATGGATTGGACGGATGCAATGTGTTGGTTTGTAACTTGGGTAGGCAAGGTAGGTAGATAAATAAGCCGTCGCACTTGGGTATGATACGATGCGACATGCAATTTGAATGAATGGTAGCATTTATTTAACTAGTAGGTGGTCGTCTAGCCTGTACCTAACTTAGAGCTGGCCTTAGTACAACAGAGCAAAGCATCGACGGCGTTTGTGGCGTATAAGGTTTCTTCGGAAGGAGATCAAAGTCAGTCACTCAGTCAATCAAATCAATCAAATGAGACGGCCTCCTCCAAATGCACGTATGTATGTGGATGAATGTGGATGGCCAGATGAGTGAGGGGTTGTCAGTTGGTCGGTCATTCAGCTGAATATACAACCCAACAACTCCTTGCCAGGTCAAACATCTGCCTATCATTTTAGCCTAGAAGGTCTATTCGCATAATCCATACACTCACTCTAGGAGTAGATCCATTAGTCTACAGCATAATGCTGAGGGAAAGCATGTTTACATGATGCTATATAAAGAACGACTCTCCAACCAAGAACTAGGTAGTCTACCTACCTATTCAGCTGTCCTCTCGCTACCCCAGCTAACGTAGTTGAAACAAATCAGTTTCCACTTACTAAGTTACACAACATTCATATCCCATCAAACCGCCAATGCACAGATCCGTGGTTTGTCGGCCCAGGAGTCAATATTCATTTCGTTAGCTTGTAAACTTTGCAAACGGATATTTCCCGTCCCTGCAAACTGACAACTGATAGGTATTATCATTATTCGTACTATCACATTACTATCATGTACTATTACACTGAGCCGAGCCGCTCAGGGGCAATCCTACTCATCGCCCTCAGATTCAGCATATGAATCTCCTACCTCATCTTCCTCTTCCATCGCATCTTCATCATACGAGACAACTTTCCGTCCGCTCCGCGTTGACCGTCTTGTTGCCCGTCCAGCTGAAGGCTTTTCCTTGGCTACTTTTGCTGGACCTCGCCTCCTTGTCCTTGCACTCGTTTGTGGCGGCTTAGACTCTGCCTCGGATTGCGGATCTAGTTTGGGCTCCTCTTCCTCTTCATGCTTCAGCCCTGTATCGAACTTTGTGTTCACCGGTCCAGACTCCGCTTCATACTCCGACCCTGCTTCGACCTGCGATTCCGGGGCCGGTTCTTGTTTGCTGTCAACCTCCATCTGCATCATTACTCTTTGCTCATCTGCGCCATCGTGCTCCATCACTAGTCCATCATCGCCATCGTCGTCCTCATCAACAGCAGGGAAGAAACTCGAAGTGTGATGGGCCGGGGGTTGCTCTTCCTCCTCTTCTTCCACATACCCCTCTGGAAGAAATCCGCCAGCCATCTCTTCATCCTCAACCTGTGGCTGCTTCTTGGTCTGGACCGAGTCTCTAGCATGTCCAAATACTGATATTTCATCAGTAATTTCGCCATATTCTTGTTGAATTCGTTCTGCAATACGCATGCCCATGAGGAAGCGACGCCATTGAGCCAAAGCCTTCTTTCGTCGCTTCTCATCTTCTTTTCGTGCACGTTCTGCCTCATCCTTCTCGAGCTCTACCATCACCATGTCGTGGTTCTCTTCAGCAATCACAACTCCCTGGATAACAGGCACAGCCATTCGATGACCAAATTCAAAGTCCACAACGGCCTCCGCATAGTCGATTTGCAATTTTTTACAAACACGCATAGCCCCTCGGAAGGGTACATGCACAGCACCCTTAGGGCACATATGTTCAGCAAACAAGTCGATATTCCTACGGCCCGGTTAGTAGATTCAAGTTTGAAGGAGTAATCGGCTACATACCCGTATTCGTTCTTGGGGATAACGCCGTCCTTGATCGGTGGCGGAATGATCCACTCAGTTTGCTCCCAGCTGTAGAGCCCCTGCAGGACCTTTTGTCCTGTGGCAGCTTCTGCTTCCATGATTTCTCGCCGGCGATTTATCGTAGCTGCGCGATAGGGTACCCTCTTCAATGGCTGCTCTCCTGCCAGTGGTGCGCGTCCCTGTTTATGCCAGGTCTCGGCACTCTTGACGTTCAGTACATCGCTGCGAAGGAACACGTCCTCTTCCTCGACCTTGCCACCTTTGCCCTTGTTTTTGAACACTTTGACACCCTTGGCTCCAGGCCTGAGTGCCTCTTCACGCTTCAAGTGTCGCTCGAGGACAAACTCCTTGGACTGCTTGTAGTATTGTAATGTCTCCTGGCCCTCCTTGACCTCCTTCTTTTCGGGCTTGGCCGGCTTCAGATCTGTTGCTTCTTCAATCTCATCGACTTCTGTCACAGGGTGGTCCTTGCTGCCTCTCAGATATCCGGATATTGCGGTTTTGAACCAGTCAAACTGATCGTATCTCTTAATCTTCCCATGATGGTTGTAGACAGGGATTTTCTCTGGTGTCATCCTCACTCCCTTGGTACGGCCAGGAAGCGTATTCCGCTTCAGATATCTGACTGTGACATCCTTGCCAGTTCCATCTTGTGAATAAGCCACGATGTATGCCATAATTTGACGTGCTTTGTCGGCCTTAGCTCCACGAGGTTCCAATGATTCGATGAGATCTCGGTTTGTTCCAACTACGTTTTTGACGATAGCATCAACGGGCAGGTGTTTGTTAGTGACTGGTGATAGGACTTCTGTCCAATAGTGTGGGAACTCCATGTCGACGTCATATTTTTTGGTCGGTGTCCTGGACGATGTCTTCCTTGGCGTGATATCCATCTCAACGACAGATTCATCATCAGTGTCCTTATACTCAAGCTCCAGATCATCTGAGTCGCTTTCAACCTCGGTTTTGAGTCTTGTTTTCCGTGTGGGATTTCTCGTGGGCTCTTTCGTTTTCTTCGTTGACTTCTTCTTTGCTGTACCCGTGCTCTTTGTGGCCGTTTTCGCCTTCTTCTCGAATGTCTCGTTTTTCTGGTCCGCGCTTCCACTCTTTTCAGGCTCGGCCTCCTCAAGTTTATTCCATCCAAAACCTAGACAAGGCAAGTTTGCGACCAGTCGTGCTTCGAGGCCAAGTCCACGAAGCAAGGCTGTAAATAACTGGGCACCTACATCTCTGCTCCCCTCACATGCTCGCGCATGACGTCTGAAGTCCTCCAGGTTTGAGATCTTCTCACCAAATTGCTCTGGATCATGAGTTTCGACTTTTTGCGCTTTCGTAAGACGGTCTAATCGCTCAAGAGACATGTATCCCCATTTCCTCAGCCCTGGCGCTGTGACTCGAAAGCGCTGTTTCCACCAAGCTGACAATGTTTGCATAAGTCGAAATAGGGGGTCTCCATGACTCATATCAACAGCCCCTTCTTCCAGTCTCTCAGCTTCAGCACCCCAGTCGCGCGACTTTCGATCCTGGACCTTTTTG